TATATATATATATATATATATATATATATATATATATATATATATATATATAAAATATATAATAAAATATTACAATTTCAAAAATATAACACATCAAAGGTATAATATATGCTACTGAACCCACATTGCAAATTGGACGGTTCTTCATGGAGGAGTTGGTGGAATTTATCGAACAAACTCCAAAAGCAACACTGGCCAAACACTGGAAGGAAATGTTACATGTGTTGCCACCTCCATTGGCAGATGTAATTAAGCCGAAATCTTGGAGGCATATTTATTCCATGTCAGCCATAAACTCTGCACTATCAAATATCCAGCTAGTTGGATACGACCAGAAATTGGTAAGTTAAAGAATGATAGAAATAGTAAATTACAGTGAGGCTATAAAATATAATTTAACATAAAAATATAAAGAACAGGTTATGAAATTATTTAGAAAAGAGATGAGAAAATTAAATAAATCGAAACTCCTGTAAAATTAAAAAAATTTTTTTTCTATGAAAACCAAATAAAATTTTTTTTATAAAAACTAAATAGATTTATTTAGGAATAATAAAACAATCTGTCAATCTCACATTTTGATTATTTGTAGGATATATATGGTGCTTTAACAGTTACACCTATCAGTTCTGGATATTGTTTAGGAAGCAGCAATTGGCTGATATCCTCCGATCACGAGAAAGTTGCTTTCGTCAGCGGTTCGTCTACATTGACTACTCATCCAAAACCCATGGAGCAAGCAACATTGAAGCATGCCAACATGTTGATATTGACAGGTTTAACTCAAACGCCAACTGCTAATCCCGATACGATGCTTGGAGAATTATGCATGACTGTTGGTAAGTCTTCAGTTGATCCTTTACAGTACGATTACTTGTATATTATAGAGCCAATCTTACATATCTTTTGATATTCTTGTAGCTGTGACTCTCAGGGCAGGGGGATGCGTTTTGATACCCTGCTATCCTTCTGGTGTGGTATACGATCTGTTTGAATGCCTGAGCACGCATTTAGATAAGTCGGGTTTCACACAAGTGCCTCTGTTCTTTATCTCGCCGGTAGCGGAAACGTCATTGGCGTACTCAAACATACTCGCTGAATGGTAGGGTCAGCGACTTTAACAGACTCACAATACTCTTTCTTTATCTTTTTAGTTCGTTTATTATCGTCATTTACATTCTAGGCTCTCGACAAATAAGCAAAACAAAGTTTATCTTCCAGAGGAACCGTTTCCTCACGCTTTCCTCGTGAAAAACGCCCGCTTGAAGCATTTTACATCCACGTATGCGGAAGGGTTCAGTAATGATTACCGGCAACCTTGTGTAGTTTTCTGCGGACATCCCAGTCTTAGATTCGGTGATGCTGTGCATTTCGTACAGTTATGGGGTAACAATCCTTTGCACACAATAATCTTTACAGGTAAGTAAGAATAACCGGTAATCGATGTGGCGAATTTTTATTTTTCTTTTGTTCGCAATTTATAAAAAAATCTGGAACATTGCTATGTGAAGCTTTATTTTTCTATTTTTCATTTTATTTATCATTTTTGACACGCGCAATTGTATAAACTTTTGTACATGAAATGTCAGATATCTAAGGTTTTAGTGAGACACGTAAGCGTCTAATAACTATATCATGTCTCATTCGGGGGACCGAATTACAGAACCAGATTTTCCGTATTTGGACGCTCTCGCACCGTTTCAACCGTTAGCTATGAAAGCAGTGCATTGTCCCATCGACACGTCTCTCAACTTTACTCAGGCTAACAAACTCATACGGGACCTGAAGCCAGAACATTTAGTTATACCGGAATGTTACACGCAGCCACCTTTAACGGCACTGCATAGAATGGATCTGGTCATTGAACCAGTGGGAGTTTGTATTATTTCCCATTTTTAGTAAAAAAAATATTTCAATCAGTCGTCAAATCTACCTCGAATGTTTTCATGTTAAAGGAAAAACCTTTAATTACATTCAAACGGGGAGAAGTGATAAAGTTGCCGTTAAAGCGGAAAAAGGGCCGCGTGTTTATTGAGCCGGAGTTAGCGGGAAGCATTGTGCCAAATGAAATACGACCAGGCTTGAGCCTTGTTTCTATTACCGGAGAGTTGGAAGTTAAAGATAATGTGTATACTATAAAGGTAATTATTAACATACATATTTCTTAATTTGCCGAATAAGACTGCTCGTTTGACCTGGGATCCGATACATCGAAATGCAAATACCTATCTTTGAAAACGTGAAATTTGCAGGCTTTAGAAGACAGGCCAAGTGTTAAGAGGAAAGCATCGTCGAGTTCGCCAGTGCCTGTCAAGGAAGAGGTCCTTAAGGAAAGGAAACACGAGTATGGAAATTTAGATCCACAGGAGCTACTTCAGAAACTTAACCAAGAAGGATTTCAGGGCGCTAGATTACAACACACACCTACAGCCACGAGTATTCACTTGGTACATGAACTCTTACTAATGCTACTTAACATTTAATGCACTACTCTTCAGAAGTCGGCAGAAGTCGTCCCTATTACTATACAGATTCTTCGATTGAATTTAGAAGGACTTAACTTTAAATATACATATCTACTTGCAGCAAGATGAGGATACTCTGATTCAGATCGGGGACAATTCTACGCACATATTTTGCAACGGTGATCAAAAGATCCGTAGACGTCTGAGAACTATAATCATGCAGTGTCTGAAAAGGTTTTGAGGTGCAATAATCTTTAGAGTATTCTGACATTTTCCGATGTATTTTATGTGACAGATCAACATTTTATATATATATATATATATATATATATATATATATATATATATATATATATATATAAAATTTATTCTTTTAAAAGGTGTTTTGTATGTAAAAAGTGTTTTTATACTTCTTTTTTATTCTAAGATATTGATCATTAATATTATGACTTAATTATAAGCGAAACAATTTTCTACCGTCTTATTAGACAACACGACGCTGAAAAAAAGTGGCTCTACGAAGAGGCTTTTGATTATATTAAAATAATTTTACTTGTAAAAATTTCTAAATTACATATATTTAAGAATCAATTTAACGATGTCGCTATACATTTGGCCATACTGGAGATTAATATATTATTTTTCAACTAAGTACTTATGATATCATAGCTAAATGACCGAAAATTGTTCATTTTGCAATGGATATTGTTAAATAATTTTTATTATAGGTACATATTTTAAGTTTATATAAACAACACGATAGAAATATTTAATAATCAGCAAATGAAGTATATAAATAATACAAGATTCGAAATTCTTTACGGTAATGTAAATAGTATACAATACTATATTAACGTTTATATCCTGAGGTGACTATTTTCTTGCTGCATTCTGAACGAACAAGAAGTCTAATAACATTTTATCCACATTCGTTATGCTAGATTGCAACATTTACGCGTGTTTTTATAATAACTCTTGTACATGCTCTACATGTAATAATATTAAAATGATCGAAACTAAAGTTTTTTAAACTTGCAAATAGGAATAAGACCAAGTTCAATATATACTTGTGTATCACAGTTAAATCATTGATTGAATATCTCATTGCACTGAGACCGAATAATATCTCAAAAATTTGTAAAATTATTTCATATATTTGAAAAACTAAATATACGTACGTGTATACCCTTAAATTTTTAAATAACCTCACATTGTGCAATAATCAAGAATATTTTAATATGCGTAGCATCAATATTTTAGAATGTATTTGATCCTAAACCTATTTGATCCAAAACCTAATAGAAAAATATGCCAAATTCATGAAATAGAATACAAAGTAAACAAAACACAAAATCTATTAATTTTAAAATCACGCTATTCTAAATAATTTAATTTCTTTTTCTGCATAATCTCAGACGCAGAGAAAAAATTGGGGACTTTCATACGTTTGATGCGCGTATTAAGTGTAATTTGCCACCCATTTCTTCAGCTCGTTGATTTTGTTCCGTACTTCATTTACAATAGTATAATACTCTTCGACGTCGTCATGATCACCAATGACGGAACTGTTTTCTACAAGAATATTAATCTTTTTTTGTTGCGTTCAGAGTGCAGCAACTTGTTACCTAGTTGGCAGTAGCGATTCCAAGCGCGACTCCCGCCACAAAGGAAACTAGGAAGAAGTGAAATTCGTTCGGTTGGAACAGCTGGTCACTGTCACCGGTTAACGTATGATACCAGCGTCGTGCTCGATTTTCGCCTTGTTTCAGTAACCGTTCGGCTTTATCCACCTTTCGATCGACGTATCTTTCGACCTAGAACAACAACTCACGTCAAAGAGTACAGAGATTGCAGTATATCGGAACAGAATAGGCAAATTCTTTATATTAAGATTAATGTGACTTTAATCCCCTTTAAATTTTGCTACATTATATTTTAAAGAACGTACAGTAAATAAATGTAAGTATTTTTATTGAGAATTACATAAAAATTATATAATCGTAATTTTATAACTGATATAAAGATTAAAACTAAGATCAATAACGTGTTAGTAAAATCATTCAAATTATAATATTGCTTCTATTTGTTTATATAACATTGGATACAATTATACTGTAATATTAATAATGGCAATATACTGAACGTTCTTTCACATTTTCATGTAAAATTTCAAAGTTACTGTTCTTTACTTCACCAAGTTAGACCAATAATGAAACCGCCGAGAAAACTTGTAGCAGTGTACGAGTTGTTTCTCCATAGTTTCCCTACCTGCAAGTAGTGAAAAACTATGTAAAAATATTGGAAAAGCGTGTACATAGTATTTTTCGTAATATGTAAATTGTCAAGCTGATGCAAAAGATCTTTCTTATTTTTTACATAAAATTGTAAATGAAAATTTCAATTCCTTTCAGTAGTAACATGATTACTCATGATCTTGCTAATTTTTCCATTTAGAAAAAATCTTCATTGTATTTTGAGCACAAATCTTTAAAGTGAAACACACAGGCACACTAATTTTTGCACCAACCTTATCCATCAAATTTGGTCCCTCGCCAGTTATTTTCTCCTCTACTTTATCCGTAATCTTTTCAGCTTTTCTCATAACCTTATCCCAATTAATTTTTATATAGCCCTGATGTGCAGCAATTTGCATTATAATGATACCACCACCTATTGCACAAGCTGCTACCTTTCCAATCTTCATAGTGACAACCCCAGTGACCCTGATTACAAATTATTCATTCAGTGTTCTTAATTGACAGTTATGAGATAGTAATTATGTATATATCTGATAATTGATATTGCATGAGTAATTAGATATTTAAATAATACAAAGAAATAATTATAATGAAATATGAAACATAGAGTACCATCCTGTTGTGCTGCCAATGATCATCTGTTTGGTTGCTGAAGTCTTGCTTACATCACCTAGGAATTTTTCTAAATAAGTTTTTGCTCCTTTCGAAACATCTATGCAATCTTCTTCACTTTCTTCTCCTTTGCCTCTCTTAGATGTACTCATCTTGGAGCTAAAACAATATATTATGCAAAGAAATTTGTAGTTCTTTTTTGAAAATAATATTTAAGAACAAATTTATACATATATGTCCATACAATACATGTTCCTGAATGACACCTATCAAATTTAACTCAAATCACTGATTATTAGGCTACAATGACAGTTACTTTACGGAAAATCACGTGACGAATATCGCACCAAAACAAATAGATTCCGTGATCGTCATTTGACACATATCTACGATACAACGAAAATGTTAAATATATCGATGATGAAATTTTACAGAATTCGTAACGTTTTTTTTCAAGAAACATCACGAAATATCGACAAGAAAAAGCAAGCAGTTGTCATTTAGCATGGGTTCATTGAAATTTAGCCGCTAGCAGCCGAAAATTGATTTGGTGAAGAATCACCGAACACTGAGAAACAAACGACGACTACCGTTTTGGTTTTCGTACTCCGGAGCGAAAGATATTCTTGATAGCCGACATGATTGCCGAACGTCTTTAACGTTTTCAACAGTGACGATCAGCGAAGAGGTATCGTGATGAATTACACGTTTCGAAGCTCACCTCTCTTTGGCAAAACACTTGTATACCCACGTCGAATTTAGCCGCTGACAAGTATCCTATAAGATCGAATATGAATGCCTCATCTGTGCGCATCTATGTGATAATTGCGGACAGAGGGCTCTCGCGTTGTCAAGAAGACACGAGCGCGCAGAACGTCAATCGCGCGCGAACAAAACAATCGGTCGTTCGACATAGCAGGACTACGCATTTACTCGTCCGTAATTTTTTGTAACCGGATTTTGAAGCAGGTATATCATGCGAAATATATCTTTCCCTACGAAGAAGAGCCGCGTATTCTCGCAACGTATATAAAGTTCGGTTAATTTACTTTCAGATCTCGAGTATCCGTGTTTCCGAAAAATGGCAGCTGTACGTTCATTCGTCTTCCTATATCTCCAAGAATTTCTGCAAGTATTCTTATTTTCAAGCAAGTGTTTTCAAATATCACATTTCCTTGTCGTATCAAGTGACATGAAGGGATGTTTAGTAAAAGCATAACGCATTAGCGCATAATACATAATGTGCAAATACGAATATTAAATATTCATACAGTTGATTGTACAAACAGAAATGTCGCGCAAATTTCCGAATTTACATTTCAGAAGATGGCGACATCGACAAGTGTTACGATAAATTACGTGTTTTATAAAAGTCACGCAACAATAATCGAAGAACGCAGACATTATCTCGGTCGCATTCTACCCATAAATGAAATATATGATATAGGTTAGAGAGAAGCCAATTATCGATGACTAAATTCATTTAGAGCACGCTCGTGCTGAAAGCCTGATTTTATCTTTATTGCTCATTGCTGCCGAAGGAACATAGAATGATATTTTCAGCACGAAGGCATCGAAAACAGATTTGGTCACACTGTGCCATAGATGCGTATATATCGTCAGATTAAAATCATAAATCGGTAAGCTAATACTGCATTAATAATAATAAAAAAGCATTATTGATAACATTTGCGTATATTTATATCAAGTGGTCAAAGAATATCGACAATATTAATGTCTTTCGAATATCTGCGATATTCGAATGTCGAATAGGTTCATTGTATAGAACGATATTCATAGATAGTTAGATCTTATATTCAAGACAGTCGCACGGAAATGGCGATCAGAGCGGCGATAATAGTCGCGTTTGAAAAGCGCGCGTGTCGAGTGTGGCGTACGCACACGCCTTTGGGTTCGAGTGTAGCGCGCCGTGTCACGCAGGACGTGGCGGCACGTAGCGGAGCAGGAAAGAGGCGAGTCAAAGTGGGGTGGGAGGGGGCCGCGGCCGGCGTGCGTTCGGCAGCGCTCGGGCGCATTCGGGCGCCGACACTCCGCGGTAACGGCTGATCGTACCGTCGCGTGACTGTCGCTGTGGTGGGATTCGTGCGTGTCCGCACAGTCGTCGCCGTCGTTGATTCGCGCTGTTTCGCGCCGCTCATTCGTCGTGATGAGATGACGACGCCGCGATTTTGCTCGCATCAATTTATCGCCGTCACTCCGATCGCGCGAACACTGTGATTTAGACCCGCGAGTGAACGATGCGAACGTCCGTGCGGTAGAAACACACGCGCGCGCGCCTCGTCCGACTCCGAGTCGACACTCTCTCTCGAAAAAATGGCACAGGACACCGACGACATCAACCTCACGCCGCAGGAGTTGCAAACACTGTCGGAACTGGACAGGTAATCCCGCAGGTGTTTCGACGCGCGTATCTCGTCCTCGTACACTTTCATCCGTCGTCGGGAACACCCGGAACGTCGGATTGCGCGGTCGCGGTCGGTATAACCTAGAAATGCGTTTGACAGCGCGCTTCTGCGCGCAACCTACTGACACCCTTTCCGCGCTTCCGAGTGTACCACATTTCACGAATGTGCCGCGAAATTTTCGCGATGACAATACAGACGAGATATCCGATGCGTTAGACATTTATCTTAAAGATTGCAAAATCGAGGAAAAAGAAAGAAAAAGTGAAAGCTATATATTAGTGTCTCGTTTCGCGACAGTCGTTTCGCGATAAAACGTAGATTATCATAAAATGTAAACATTGATGCGCAATTCTTTACTTGTCGACTAAAAACTGTTGTTCATGTCGTGAGTGTACTGAAATGTGTAGTAAAAATAATAGTGAAGACTAATTTTTACGCGATGTATACACAAGGCGATTTTTCTGCTTTGTATGTGCAGTCGGCAGTTTGGCTTCCTTAAGCTGAATTCTCCGGAGCAGACCAAGAAGAAGGCCTTAGTTGTACGCGCTGTCAAGTATCTCGAGCGAATGCTCGTGCAAGCTCAAGCAGAGAAGCAGCGTAGAAAGGCTGATAGCATGAAGGCCAGTGTCGAGGAAACTAAGGACGAAGATGAGGACAAGGGCATAAGCATCGACCCTAAAACATACTGCAAGCTGGGACACTTCCATCTTCTCTTAGAAGACTATAATAAAGGTAGGGTTTTTAGTATCTTAAAACAATTTTTTAATATCTGCTTCATATGCCATACATGACACACTATAGAGATTTGCAACAGCAAGAAACAAATAATTTATGTTGCGATAAAATAATTTATTTCTTTCTTTTTATTGTGTGTGTGTATTGTCATTAGCAAAGTGCAAAATTTCTCAGTATATTCTCATTTTTGTTGCAGCAATGTCAGCATACCAGAAATTCTACTCCTTGAAAGGTGACTATTGGAAAGATGCTTCATTCCTCTATGGCCTGGGTCTAGTGTACTTCCACTTTAATGCCTTCCAGTGGTGAGTGAATGACTACATTTCTTTTTTTTTTTTACCATATGTCCAAAGGGAACACTGTATCAGACAGATCCTGATAGTCAAATAAGCGTTTACAAAATTAGGAAGACATATCTGTTCCTAAATTCAAGATTTTTGTTCCTTTGGACTGTGCTTTTTACATTCAGAAACTTTTCCACAACTTTCTTCAAAGCTTGGGGGATTTATCGTGCATGGAAAATCTGCCATTAAGGCTGAACTCGCTACTTATGAAATACTCCATGCATTCATCTCGCCTCGAAGGCAAAGAGCGCGGTTAAAAGAATATCCTTAGATAGTGAGCTCGCATACCCTGTTTTATCTCTCGCGCGTAATTCTAACGCGAGGGGCTCTCGTCCTCGCTGAACTCTCGCGGTCCTAGAAAAGTAAGGGCGAAGGGCCCAGCGGTAAAAATGGCGCCGTCGGAAAAATGCCGTAATCTCTCACGAGAGTTGCTCGCCTTGAGAAGGGGGCGTCGGCCCTTGGACGATGTACACACAGGGTTCATCGTCCAAGGGCCCGCCACCGCTATATCCTCGCCATTTATTTTTTAATTTCGCGCCGATAAGGACAGAGTCGCTTTTTCGGGCGTCGATAAAGCCGCACGTGTCGATAAGCTCGCGCGCCGATCGATAAGTGTCATGAATCATGAGAGAGCAGCGCCATTTTGCATTGGCAGTCAAGTGAATCACCGCGATTATCGAACGGGCAGGTAGATGATGGTAAAGCTTCAACGTTATTGATCCATCGGTCGTTTGTTCCACGGATTGCCTAAAACATTGCAGTGTTACGGACGACGGAGATATTGCAAACAAAACAAAGATGTTAACAGGGTAAGCCGTTTTTTTCGCGATTTTCGATAGTTCGTCCGGCGTCTCGACAGATGTCGCTCGCGCCGCGCCACCGAGACGGCCAAGTGCCTACGTGCCGAACAGCAGCGAAGCCATGGCGACTTTATGGAGAGGGAGGTCGGCGGCAGAGGGAGGGGTGGCGATAATAGGCCAAATATGCACGTCTCGCGGAACCGAAATAGAATTTCAGAAACGCCACGTAACTCTCGCGAACCCTTCGTATATATAAACAAGCTCCGCGGTGAATTCGCGCTCACGAAACCCGCCATGAAATGTTCGATCTTATCGCGCCCTTCGCCCGTCTCGTTTCGATATCCCACCGGAAATTCGGCGTACCGGAATGCGCACGGTATCGGGACGGAAGGAATGCCGGTTGAGCAACGAAAACGGTACAACCCGCGCGCTCACGAGATACACGTTAACCACCGCGCGCTTTGCAAAACCGGGCATAGACCTAATTGGGAGAATCGCGTGGCGAATTTGACAACGAGGAAAGCTGACCTCTCGGATCGCGTTATCGAGATAATCGGAATGGATTTCCAATTTTTACGTTCTAATTTGATGGCGTTTATTGCATGAAGATTGCTCAGAGAGAGATCACGTACGCCCACCTCGAGTTAAAGATAGACATCGCGATAAAACGCGTGCAATCGTTGCGAATTTCCCAGAGGTACGAAAAGGAAGAGGGAATCCTCTTTCCCTCTCCCAGGTTATTCCCGGTAATAACAACTTCCGCGGAAACTCTACGTACAAACGAACGACATTCAATTCGTGCCTCGTGTAACTCGCTTTATATCATTTAAAATGGAAAGACCACGTCGCAGTTGAACAGTGGTAAACGCACTGAAATGGAATTCTTTATCGCGCCGCATAATGCGTGGGGCTTCGATTTAATTTCGCGAGTCGTGCGCGATACGCGTTTTTCCTCGATAACGCGCGCCTGAAAATGCACGCGCTGTTTTTTCCGTCGCGTTCTTGGCGCGCACAATGAAGCGAGAGCGAATGGTCGCGCAAACCGTCGGCAGCTTACTCGCGAATTTGTAAATTGGGTCAGCTTGCGCTTGGCTCCTAATTGGCGCGCTAAATATAGACCGCGATTTACCCGGAAGATCGCGATACCGGATATCATTCTCTCCCTCCCCTCCGTATGCATCCGCGCGTTCGTCATTTTCCATTGTAATCGCTGGGTCGAAAGTTCGGCCACTAATCCACGCGTCTTTCTCCGATACGATAAACGCGTTATTCGTATTTTGCGAATAATATGAGGAGTGTCAACGGTAGTACTTTTAATCCACGGCAGTGGTGTCTTATCTCTTGGGGAGAATTCACACCTTGGCAGAAAAGTAGAAGCCAATCGAAATTTGTGCTGGAGGTCGACAGTTCCTGTTTTTCTACAGTTCGCAACTTCTGATTTCTCTCTGTTTTCTGCTAAAGTGTGAATTCTCTCTTAGAAAATGAGACTTAGACTCATAGACTCTTAGACTCGTAAACTTAAAAAAATTTGCACTTTGATAAATGCAGTTGTATGTGACTAATGTGCGCAGTGAGCAATGCATCTCTACAAATTACATTTCAGATATATCACCAAGAATGTACATGTTATATATAAATTGTATTACTTTAACACTTACAAGTAAATCTACCCAAAAGGTACACTCTGATTTCTCTTTAATTTGGCACAAATGTAAAAGTACAAAAAATATTTAGGTCATACTTTTTTTATCTTGGCCTACTTTGAGTTTCAGTTTATAGCTTTTTAATGTTCTCACTCTTATCATCAACAAGTACACAGAGAGAACGATTTGACTGAATCAAATAAACACTTCTTTGGAATAGTCCAAACGAATTTTTTGATTAATCGAGTAAAATTTTGTTTGACGCAACAAAATATTTATTTACGGCTCAGTTCCAAAGAAATATTTTTGTGTCAACCAAATAATTTGTTTGGACTATTCCGAAGAAACATTTATTTGATTCAATAAATCGCTTTTTCTGTGTACAACAAAACTGCATAAAAAATAAAATTGAATACAAGATATAGTTAAATAATTTTAACAAAATCGGCATAGCTGAGGCACGAACCATTCTAAATTTTTTTAGTCGAGATTCCAACCGAAATATTTCAAATCTGTGCTAAACTAGTTAAAAATTGTTCGAATCTCGGCCAAATCGAGAAATTATTTGTATAAATAATTTTTTTCAACTTTTTACATGTTTTTTTTTACATTTTATTATTTATACAAGTAATTTTACACATTTGACTTTATATTCATAATCAACAAACCAAAAACGCCTATATCTTGTATTCAATTTTATACATTTTTGTTGTACTTGTTGATGATAGGAATGAAAAGACTAAAGAAGCTATAAACTGTTCGTGAAATTCAAAGTAGGCCAAAATAAAAAATATGACCTAAATATTTTTTGTATTTTTACATTTGTGCTAAATTAGAAAGAAATCGGAATGTAACTTTTGGGTAGGTTCACTTGTTAGAAATAGTAAATTTTCGAATGAATTCAACGCAGAATAGTCTGGATAACACCGTCGCAATATGTTGAATAAACGCATTATATATATTATATATGTTAAAAATTTTATACAAGCATTTCTACACGGATCGATTTTAATATAGATACAAAATATTTTTCACCGTGTACGAAAAGAGGTCTTAAATACAGAGAATTGACGTATTATTTGTTGATAAATTGTTCGTCAATTTCGGTAATTCTTTGAATAAAATATATATAGATATATTACAACGCCGAGGATTCAAACCAAGCAGCGCAAACACTTGTTTAGGTTTATGATATAATACTGCAATTTTTAATCACACCTGAGTGCAGTTAAGGGCTGATGTATTAAAATAAAATATTGTACGG